CGGGGAGGGCCTCGGGGCTTACACTGGTCCAGGGGCGGGGGCACGCTGCCCTTCACCCAGGGCGTGTGGTCGTCCACGATGTTGATGGTGATGTTGGGATGCCAGTGAGAGATCACCTCCACAGGTCCGTAGTCCTCGGCCCTCTGGGGAAGGGGGTCGAAGGGCGCGCCTCAGAGGCAGGCGGAGGTGCCCAGTGGGCACTGGCCCCTGCTCACTGTCCCCAGAGAACTCCTATGTGCTATCAACTGCACGGTGACTGCTGGAGGGGGACTTCCCTGGCCAGCTCTCGTGTCCACTTTTACAGACTCCACCACCGAGATCCTCCCACCCCTCAGAGCAGACACCTGAGGCCCACAGAGGTGCAGGCCGAGCCGGGCTGCAAAGCTGGCGCCAGGACAGCTGCCTCCCCGATGGGGAGCAGGAGGAGGGCTCTAGGTGCCCACCACAGGCTAACACCCCTGCCCCAGCCCGCCAGGAGCCACGCAAACAGTCTGGTAGTTCCTGCTGGAGCCGCGTCCTCGGTGCCTGCTCTGCAGGGCTGGGCCAGTCCTTTGAATCCCCGCCTGGCTGCTTCCTGGCTAGGGGACTTCACCCATAAGCAGGACTGTGTGAGACCCCTCCCAGGGCAGAGCACACGCTCCATCAGCCAGGGTTGTGATGCCTAGGAGGCAGCCAATTCCTACCCCCATTTCCCAGAGAAGGAAACTGAGCCCAGATGCCAGGTGAGAACCAGGCTGTGAATGACCCAGTGTTCCCTGCAGCACCGGCCAGCCCTGCCTGGGTATACCTTGATCATTTCCGGATCCGCTTCTGTCTCTCCCGTCAGCAGGTTCTTAGTTTTCTGAAACCGCCTGCGTTTGTATTTGTTGATCACTGGTGGAGGGGAGGGGTGGCATGAGACCTGCTGCACCTCATGTCCAGAACCAGCGCTCCGCCCACCAGCAGCTGCTCACTGGGCTTCCAGCTCCCACCTGCCACTGCCCGAACTGGCTTCCTGAATCGCAGCCGGCTCCAGCTTCCTTGTCTTAATGGAGATTCCCCTCAACACTCACACGCACACGCGCACATGCACACGCACACCAAACTGCCCCACGCAGAAACCTGGAGTCACCTTCTATCCTCCCATCCTGGGGACGCCCTGATGCACTGGCCTTCCATTTCACCTTTTCTCCTGCTCTGGGGCTCCACCCAGACCAGCCACGGCTCTCCCTCCTAGACGAGATCTCCCTCCTGGGTGACTGCAGTCGCCTTCTCACTGGCTTCCTGGTGCCACTCTCACACCCTATTTCTATTCTATTCTCCACTAGGTAGCCAGCAATTCTTTTTTGCTTTTATGTCACCAAAGGTGTAGGCATTCCCCAGAGAGAGAGAGTGCAGGGGGGAGAGGGAGAGGGAGAAAGCACCTCTCAGTGGGGCACGGTCACACTGCAACCCCCTTCTCTACTCTATCCTGCCAGGGTTTGGGGCGCACATGTGAATCTGATTTGTTTTGCAAGCCACCAGGGCCAAGATTCAAACTGTTGTTGGGGGACCAGTAGGTGGCATGGGAGTTAAGGCACTGGATCCCACATGGCTTACTGTGAACCTTGAGTCCTGGACCCGATAGCTTGAAAAACACTCCAGACATGTGTGCATGCCCAAAATTCCAAGAAGAGAATGGAGAAGGGACTGTGGTGTGGTTAACCACCCTGCGAGGTGATTTCTCACTTTCCGCCTCTCTCTGGTGAGCATACATCCCCTACAGTATGTAAGAAACTAAAAACAAAACAAAACAAAACAAACGAACAAACAAAACCAAACCCAAAAACAACTACTTTGGCCCTGTGGGATCTCTAGCTTTTTTAATCATTAAGTCACAGGGCTGGCCCCCTCTTTCTCTTTTCTTTTAAAGTTTCTTTTTCTGGGGAGAGGTTTTTGCTATAGGGCACGTGTGCTCGCCAGAGAGACAGAGACAGACAGAGAGACAGAAAGTGAGAAATCACCCCCCAGAGGGATGGCCATGCCGCAATCTCTTTTCCTCCATTCTCCTCTTGGGATCTTGGGCATGCACGCACATGCGCCTGGCATGAGTTTTAAGCCACCGGGTCCAGGACTCGAACCATGGTCGACTACATGCAAGTCCAGCGACATAGCCATTACACCAACTGCTGGTCCCTTAAAGTTTATTTCTTATGGGGGGCTAGCAGGTGGTGTGGTGATTAAGGGTGCTGCAGTCCCACCTGGCTGACCACGGTTTGAGTCCTGGACCTGGTGGCTTGTTTTTTCACTTTCTTTTTCACTCTCTCTCACTCTGTTCCTCTCTAGTCAAATTAAATAAATGAATGTAAATAAAATAATTATTAAAAACAAGTTTCTTTCTCCCACGAACCAGACGAAATGATGGGGACCCAGCAGGCTCTTCACTGCTAGGCTTGAGCCTTGGTGTCCGGCACGCAGGGCTACTACCTCTGTGCCAGCGCAGACGGCCGAGCCCTTTAAACTCAGCATCTGAGCCCTGAGCTCCGTGCACCTCCAACCCTCAGCACCTCTCCCACTCCTCACTCCCCTCTCCTCACACAGCCAGCCTCTGGACGAGCTGCTCCGTCTCGTGTGTGTGTCCCCCAACCACCTTCGCGGCTGGCTCCCTCAGCCCGTACACTCCCGGGGACACGGCCTTTTCCCACGGGCTTCCCCGACAAGCCTACTGAAGGCTGAGTGACATTCTCTTGCCAGCTTAGTTTCCCTCACACACACATCACTGTCTCTTGTCCCCTGCCCGTGGGTGTCCTTGTGTGCTGTCTGGAACCCCAGGCGGCAGGGCCGTAGTGCCAGTGCAGACTCAGGGATGACCAGCCGAGCACACGGCCATCAGCAGTCGGGCTGTGGACAGCTCTTGAGATGGTCTGGGCCACCAACACAGGAAACCAGGGCAAGATGTACTTGGGGCTTAGCCTCCAGCCAGGAGTCGGCCTCGCTGCCTCTTGCAGAGGCTAGGTCGGCCTGGGCTCCCTGCCTCCTGCACTGGTGGCTGCCTAGGCATGCCAGGAGGAAGGGGCTTGCCCTGCTTTGACCCCAGTTCCCATCTCTCCCGCCTGGGCGCTACTTCCCTTCCTCACACGGGGAACAAACTCGGCCTGCCTGTCCTTGGCTCTCCCTCCTGCTTCCCGGGGGCCAGGTCACGGCTCTGTCCCCTACAGGCTCAGGGACCCTGATGCGTGTCTTCACTTTCCCGGGCCTCAGGCCCCTCGCTGAGGGAAGGGGACAAGCCTACTTCGAGTCCCAGGGCTTGCTGCCCTTCTTGCTAACAGAGACATCATCCTCATCATTTCCTTTCTTTTTTTTTTTTTTAAAGTAAGTTTTCTTTTAAAAAATAATTGTTTATGTAACTTTATTCATTCATTTCTTTTTAATTTGACGAGAGAGAGAGAAGAGAGAAGGTGAGAAAGCAGGCCACCAGGTTCAGGACTCAAACTGTGGCCGGCCACATGGGAGCACCCAATGACTTAACCACCACACCACCTGCTGGTCCCCAACCTTTTTTTTTCCCTAATTCTTGAGAGAGCACATATGTGTACATGTGAGAAACAGAGTGAGAGAGACAGGAGCCCTCGACAGGTCTGGTCCAGGGGGCACATGCACTTCCTAGAGAGACAGAGAAGAGGGAAAAGGAAAAAGCACCCTCCAGTGGGGTGTGATCGCACCACCATCCCTTCTCCGTTTCTCCGCCCTGTCGGCATTTGGGACACGCACATACTTGTACCCAGTGTGTCCTTCAAGTTGCCACGACCAGGATTTGAACTGCGGTCAGCCACGTGGGATTTGACTCCCAACAACTATGCCGCAGGCCAAGCCCTCTAGCAGATGCACTTAGACGACGTCTCTCACAGCCTCGCGGCCCAGCACTGCTCTTGACAGTGACGCTCCGGCCCTGTGGGGTGGAAGGGGCTTTCCGGATCCTACACACTCCTTCACCCTGGAGGTGGGGATGGCCAGCTCCAGGTCCCTCAGAGTCTCTGCTCAGACAGTTCCGGCCCCTATTCTGGGGCAGGAGGCCTGGGTGAACCTGGTGGGTTTCTTTAGGTGTGCCGGCCATGGGGCCCATTCTGCAGAACACACTTAACAACTGTCACCTTGACTGCCAACGCCACCACACAGTGACACAGATCATGTTCCCCAGAGACAAAAAGCATGGAGAATACTAGGCTGGATCAGGGTCAACACAACAATCAGACAATCCTCAGACAGGAGTACGCAGGGCACTAGCCAGTGGTCACTGGCCTGGATTACGTTCAGAGCAACCTCCAGGGTTTCGGGACCCAGAGCCCAATGCATCCCACCTGCAGGGCCTGGGTGACCTGGGGACCATCCTGGGGGGGGGCGGGGAAGGATCACACCCCACTCTGGCTGCCTCTGCCCACTTCTCAGGCCTCTGCCCATGGCTGCCCTCTGGACCATGCTGGGCACCAGCTCTCCTGCCCTCCCAGAAGCCATCTGGGTAGAACACCCCGCAGAACACGTTCCACAGACACACGCCCTCAGCACAGCCCTTGGCAAACTCCGGGGAGGGCTGGCAGAGGGTTGCCAACTTTTCATTTCATCCAGTGTAAATGATTAAAAAATAAATACTATCAGTCCTTGGGATACGTCTATGCCGACAGAAGAAGTATGGAACTAAGCCATATGAACAGAACTGTGTCACTGCGCCCCACAAAGACAGCCGGAGGGACCTTACCCAAATCTACAGGGTATGCTTGGGAGAGCTCTCAATAAGCTAAAAGCTGGGTGGAGCACCCAAACTTCGCTTCAGGAGAATGGGGGCTTGAGAGCCATTCTCCAAGCCTCCTGAAACTGGTCCTGAAGAGATTTCTCAGGCTGCTGGTCAGGAGACAGGGGCCTCCTGGGAAGGGGAAGGGGAAGGACAATGGCTGACCTGGAAAGCGAGAAGCTGGTCAGAGAAGAAATGGCCGTATCCCCGGTGTAGCTCACGCGCGAGCAACAGTCACGGACCCAAAAGCTTTTAAACACCAAATATTCATCTATTCAGAATTATATTCCTCTACTAGCATTTCCTCTTTCAGAGTAAAAAATCAATAGATGACGTCCGGAAAAAAAAAAAAAAAAAAAAAAAGACGCCGGGCCCCCCCGCCCCTGCGGCCCGGGGACA